TTTTCTCTAGGAGTAGTGCTAAGCAGTCCAAATTTTTAGACCAAGTTTGCAAATTATGTTATATGTCATAAATAGAAAATAAGCATGTTAATCAACACTTAAGTGAAATCCAATTATCAACAACCACGTCATATTATTCACAAAATATAATTTATATAGATAATTTCTCTAACATTACTCTTATGGCCAGGTTAGTCAGTGTCTACAAAACTAGATTTAACTAATGATCAGAAGCTAGTGTCTGATTTGACGGAATTTAAAAGTGAGTTTATCTAATCCACTAAAGATGCTCTTGCACTTACATATGTACCCTAGGAAATAAGGGGTTGGCCTAATAAGATCATATATATATATATATAATTTTTTTTTTTCTTTAAGATCTTTTATATCTCTCAGATTTTGGGCAAATTGTGTCTGGATTTCATTCTTTCGTGAATGTCAAAAGAAGAGTGAGAGCGTTGCTTAGTGAGGAACAGTTTCACATGCAAGTGGGTGTTAGAGTTCTGCATGCAAATCTGGCTGGTTGATGACATGGAAAGTTTTACCAGAGGACCTGATACTATGTACTACTGCTGCCCACAATATCTTTCAATTCTATCTCAAATTTCACTTTTTGTGGCAAATAGCTAGTGACAGATAAAATTGCATCAAAAAATGGTACCAAAAAATTCCCTTCAAAAACATTATGTGTGTCCGGAATACAATGTGGTGTATTACGTGTTATGATATAAGTAGATGACATGATTGATATGTCCCATTTTAGTATATATTTTTTAATATCTCTTCACTCATATTATAACACATAGTGTATCACATTATGTTTCAGATACTCTGAAATCTCTTAGAAAACAGGTTCCCCAACTTGTGATCGCTTTTGAATTCCTCCATATTTTATTTGATACAAGAGTTGAGTTGGTATGAAAATAAATCCCAGAATCTTTCAAAGACAATGTGCAAAGCCTCTTCAAGAAATCTTATTGAACCAGATACCTTCACAAAAATCAGAACTTCACAAGAATAAATAAGAAGATCGAAGCCGTGCTTCGTTTCTGTTTCTGTGCGACAATCTTTGCTGCTGCATTTTACCACCATCAACATTTTGCCAAAATGTTAAAAACCCAAGTAATGGATGCTGTAAAATCAGGAAAAGGGAGTCGGTGCATACGAAAGTTCCTAATCTTTCCAAAAAGAAGGAAAATTACTATGCGTCTAGCTAGAAACAGCATATGCATACATACCTCATCTAACCCCTAATGAATTTAAATGTGTGGGAACATTTTTTTTCTTAGTATATAGCTCTTAGCTTCCAACGTAGAATTTTTTTTTATAATTAACTTATCATAATAAATCATTTGGAAAGATGATTTCTGAGTTGGTAATTTGGTCAATTCAGAAGAAATATTCCACATCACAAATCTTTTGGGTGAACTTGACACTACTCATTTTTATATGGTTTAGATTGGTTGGTTAACCCATCTGGGATTCACAATTTAAAAACTCAATCAAATCATAAGAATCAAGATAACCTTTGAATTGTGTTTAGATGATTGGTTTTCAAGCTAAAAGCATATGGTTATATTCCATCTCCATATTCCATAGGGTGTTCCTACCTAAGCTAAATATCCTTATCTTATATTTATATGTGAATGATTAAGCATAATCAAACTTGAAATAGGTGGAGAATCCATTTTCTTAATAATGAAAAAAGCGCTATAGCTCTTCGGACCATGCCCTGTATACGAGGAAAATTAAGCAATCTCTACCAAACTAAGAAACTTTATGAACATATAATTAATTTCATAATATGGTAGGCTTAATCGATTTATTGGCGTTGTTACACAGCCGTAATATGGGGCCACGATATGATTGAGATATATTCCTAGCATTAGAATGTCTCACAAGCATAACGAGCAATATATATATATATTTGCCATTTTACATAGGATAAATTCTAATCTAATCACATATACATTATTCACATGCAATGCTAAAACCATGTTTACTTGTTTACCTAAAACAAGAAATAAAGAACAATAAGAACACTACCAAAAATGTGATTAAAACAGAACATGTTCCCATGCTCAGGCATATTGAACTAAACAGCTTCCTAAAACGACGGGGGCATTTGCCAGACGTACACATATGTATCAAACAAATATCTTCCTACTAGAAGCATTCATATATTATTGCCGTAACCCGAATTAATTACACATAAAACACTTCTTACATGTAAGAAGCAAATGACAGTGAAATAGTTCACTTGTATTTGCATGTGTAAAGGAATTGATCAAGTTTAAGGCAGGCATATATCTTGTACTTGATTTGTTGATGCAAAAACCATACATGCCCCATGTGTTAGATTCTTGGCCTATAACTGGGTCAGTTCTTTAGTAGTACCTATAGGTGTACAGCTTTAAACATTAAGAATAGTATTCACATGAGTCCCTCTGTATCTCTTTATCTGGTCTCCTCATCAGGCCAACTTTTTGTTCTAAGTTGCCTACATATTCTTTCACTACTTTATCATATACGTATGCTTCTTCAAAACAGTTGTCTTGAAGAATGAACAAAAATACGTTATATTATTTCATAGTCTCTCTTGGTAGTGTAGTTCTGCTCCTAATTGCCTACCATAGTTAAAGGGGTGTTTGCTTATATATAAGGGATTAGTTTATAACAACATTCTACTAGATCATGTATCACATTAATGAGAGGCAAACGACACTAGGGTTTTGGGATCCAAGTCTCTATATTTAGCATTATTATTGGTAGAACTGAAGGCATTAATATCTTGTGTTTGAATGAGTATAGGGCATGCATGGTTTGATTGGACTTGCTTAGTAACAGAAGACATTGTTGTGATTAAATAGTGCGGTAGGATAGAATCGTATGCAGCTAGCACTATAGGCATCCAAAGTTTGGCTAGCTTTCTTGTGAAGTTAAACAGTCTCATGTACTTGAGAATTAACGAATGTCGCATGTTTTAGAGACGCTAAAAAATGATGAGATTGATAATCAATTTATATCTTAGGTGGTTAAGAGTATTTTAATTTTGTATTTGAAGTTTTGTGTTCGATCTTAATATCACTTGTGTCAACAAAAAAAAAAAAACCAAAGAGGGAAGGTCGCAATGGAGATTGATCTAAAAGATAGATAAGTAGTTAGAAACTTTGCACAAGCTTATAAGAAGGTGAGTTACTCCTCCCGCTGCTAATTATTTTACCATGGAACATAATTAACTTTCGTCAAGTATTGTCCAATTAAGGGTTAGTTTGGAAATGTTGTTACTTTTTTTTTTTTATAAAAACTATTTTTGACGTGTTTTAAGAATAATTAGCAGCAAATTAAAGTAGTTGAGTGTTTTATAAATTGTATTTTTAAAAATGTTGTGAGTATGAAAAACAATGTAAAAGCATTTGATAAATTTTAATGTAAAATTGATATATTGTATATAATGACAAAAATGAACATGATAGCAATGTTGGCGATGGCGAGGACAATGGTTGTGATGTTGGTGGTGATGCCAATAAATGAGTGTGGTGGTTGGGTTGCAGAGGTAACAATGGTGGTAGGGGCAGCGACAACAACGATGGTGGCGGTTGTGGTTGTGGTGGCAGAAGTGACGTTTGTGTTTATGGTGGTGGCGGTGGCGGTTGGTGGCGGCAACAATGGTTATGACAATTGTGGTTGTGGTGGTAGTGTTAGCATGTATCGTTGTAGTGGTGGTGGTGGTGGTGGTGCGATTGTGGTATGGTGGTGGAGGTTACTTTGTTCTCTAAGGATAAAATGTGTCTAGAAGGATAAATAACGTCATATTTTAAAATTAATGAGCATATTACAGTAATTAAAAATATTCAATAAAGGCTCAACTATGCTTTTCATTAAAGTAACTTTTAAAAGTAATCTACATACTGCTTCTAAAAGCTGTTGTTTGGAGGTCATTTCTTTTAATATAAGTAGGATATCTTATTTTACTAAACATTTTTTTTACTGCTTAACTTTAAAGTGAAGCAGCTTTTAGTGAAAAAAACAATAACAAATTGGACCTAAAATATATATCCTAATTCACATTTTTTATTTTATTGTACTTTTTGTTGGAGATACTATTAGGGAAGGATAGTTACAAACCCCTTACTATTTTATATAAAAGACTGTTAACATTACTTTGTAAAATATTAATTGTACAAACTGCGAAATTTTATAGGTCTAAACATGATTCATCACTAATATCACAATATTGTCCCAACTTAATCATTTTATTACTAGGTGTTGGGTTTTATCACAAGGCCTAAGTGATATTAGGAATGGAAACTCCCATATATTAATTCTTGTTATATGATCAATGTAGAATCCTATTATCCAATACGCTCCTCACGAGTGACCACACACAGGGTCACAAGGGAAACTAATTCCCACATCGAGAACTGGTCAAATCATTACACCAGAGCAAACACAACTTTTCGAGAGCCCCAACATCATTCAGGTACTAGAGTCAGCCCATCATTTAATATCCTTAAGTTGGAGCTAGCGCAACTTTTCGAAAGCTCAACTTAAGGAGGCAAATTTGATCCCAGTAAATCGGCCCAGGATGTGTCTAAAGAATACCTTTCTCTAATATCATGAGAAACTTTATAAGCCCAAACATGGTTCACCACTAATATCACTAGAGAAAGCACAATTAATTATTGCCCTGCCCCTTCCCACATGTGTAGGTAACATCTTGAACAAATTCGTACCTTAATAGTTAACAGCACTTTAGGTAGAACTTGTCTGTAACCTTAAACGGTTAAAAACCAAAAGTTTACGCGCTTACAACTTCACAATAGCAGTAAAGTGTGATAGTTACACGGAGCTAGCTATATGATTAGCTCCAACTTGCTATTTTTGTCTAAGCAGCAGCACCCCGGCAGTTGCCCGAAACTGTACGGGTAGACCAACTTGTCCAAAAAGCCAGTATCTACTATCCAATTTGCCATTGCTATATAAATGTTCAAAGCCTCATCAACGCTATGTGCACACAAAAAGTCAGTTCCTTATTAGCCCCTCACCAGCTAGCTCTCTTGTCCATGGCTTCCATTCCTCATCAATTCTACAATGACTATTCACTCCCTTCTCATTTTTATGGGTACCCGACTCCAGTGGTGAGTGGAGAAAATGGTTGCAGTACTGCAGTTTTAGGTGGAACAATGTGGAGTGCTAGTACTACTTGTGAAGAAAGCTTGGTACCGTTTTGATATTAGCAATGCTGCGGCTAATATTGAAGTGGTGTCACCAGAATCCAACATCTCTTCGTCTGTTATAGTAGCTTCGTTCCCGGAGCTACTAGGATTTTCGGAAGATATTGCTGTCCCTGGTACATATTCGGAATATGGTAATATGGGGATGCATGGAATTGCAGGGACTCCGCATTTTGGTGGAGAACTAAACCTACCTTATATGAATGATCAGTTGGGGGAGGATCATTGTACTGGACTCATGTCAGCCGATTTCAAGCCGTTTAGCCTTGCTGGCCAAGAAAATTGGGTATTCTATTTCTAGCTGATCATATTTCATCATAATGATTTTGTGCATTAATTATTGTGTTCGATCATTTAGTATACATATGGTGCATAGTGTTATTGTGCATATGGTTAATTGATTTCAGCTAGAATATGAATTGCGTAAAATTTTGTGTAGGCAATTAATCAAGCGAATCAGCAGGTGCCTACAATTGAAGATCAGTCTACTATGAAGGTGGGAAGGTATTCAGAAGAAGAAAGGAAAGAACGGATTGACAGATATTTGAAGAAAAGAAACCAGAGAAACTTCAACAAAACTATTAAGGTACAACGATTTAAAATTTAAACATGGATATCACATTATTAGAAAGTGAATCTAAATCACAAAATGAGACAAAAGAACTTAATTAATGCGTTAAGTTTACAATAATTTGACAATATAAACAGTTTACAATAATTTGACAATATAAGCAGTTTACAATAATTTTACAATAATTAGGAATTCGTTACTAATTGTATGTGCAACTACAGTATGCTTGCCGCAAAACTCTAGCTGATAGAAGGGTCCGAGTTCGTGGGAGATTTGCAAGGAACACTGACAATCATGAGGAAATGGCACAAGAGAAGACTGAGAACAATATTCAAACCTGCAAAGATCAGCGATCAGAACTGTATTGTAGTAGCGGTACAGTCCAGGTAGGGTTCTTAATATATAATATATAACATTTCTCCAGGCAAATGAAATATCTTAATTGGTGCATGCATGCATGCAAATTAACCCACACATACAATAATTAGTTATCATTTTTTGTTTGCAATAACTACTTACCATTTACTCGTTGATTTAGATGAAATATGACGATGATGATTGGCTGCAAGAGGCTATGGCAAGTCTAATGTACTTCCCTTATGTCACAGCTGGTTGACATGGTGAAACCTAGCTAGCTAGCTTCCATTTCAATGTTATAGTAACCAGTAATTTGATCGAAGATGGAATTTCATATTAATCGAAGAATTGTACGCTCTAATTAACTAGCTAATATTTGTAAAATTAATTGGTCAATCGATATATTAAAGCTCAAAATTTCTCATTGAGTTCTAGTATATACGTACAGGTAGTTAAGACAATTTCCATCATTAATTTGATGCTTTTAGACAGTCCAGGACATTGACATTATATTCTTTCATGGCTTTGAAAAGTTGTTCTAGTGCGTGGGATCAGATCAATGCGTACGTGTACGAGGGCGTGTGCACAATAATTTGATTAACCTTACTATGATTAAGGTTTCTAATTCCTCTTTACTATGGATAAATATTCTTCAGTATGCATGTATGCCCCCACTCTCCACAGGCTCTAATAATAAATTAAATTAAATTATATATATAAAAAAGGAATCGACTGCTGTATGCATGGTAGATCTCACCCCTGTGCGTGATTAATTAATCAAACAAGTAATATAATTCGTTGGGATGATGACTTGGAGTTTGACTCATCTTTAATATACTCGAACTCTCGAATAGATTAGTTGACTTGGGGGCATTAATTTGTGGAATCTCTCAATATCGTAACCCTAGAATTTGAGAAATTGAGAGAAGAATGATTACATGCTATTCACTGAGGATGTCTTTGTGGAGAGCCACCAGGTTTTGTGGATGCAAATCAACTCAACTTGGTCTGTAAACTAAACATGTTACATATATATGGCAAGTCAACCCAATTTGGTTATTTACTTAGTAACGTTTGATAACCATTTTGTTTTTAGTTTTTGGTTTTTTTTAACACTTTTTTAATATAGAAAACTTGTTTTTTAACTACTGAAAATAAAAACGAAATAATTATCAAATGACCCCTTAATTTTGGATTTCTTCAACCAAATTCAGATTCTGCCTTATAAACGTCATGGAAAGGTTATTTACTGAGCCGTCAATTTTCTTCAATCAAATTTAGATTTGACCTTGTTTGTTAAACATCATCAAGCAAATTTATTTCCTTTTCTATGTCGATGATTCACAATCACCAGCACTGATACAATTAACTCTCTGATTTCTACAATGGGAAATAAGTTTGATTTCGAAGGATCTTGGATCCCTTTCTTATTTCCTAAGCTTACAAGTCCATCATCAACAAGGCTTGTTTGTGAATCAGGAGAGGTATGTTAAAGTATGACAGAATTCCCTTCCAGATTCTATCTTGTTCTAAAAGTATACTAGCTAGGGTCTCATTGCTTGTGCTTAGTTAAGATATATAATTATATATAGTTAGTTAGGACAATTTTCATGATCAGTTATTACGTTTAGCTTACAGATGATTAGCTCCTATAGTATATAAGCGTAGCATGTACAGTTGTAATTATGATAATAAGTTGTTGAAAATGAGAATTCAGTCTTTCATCTTTCTCTGTAAGTTCTCTCTAAAACCCTAGATTGCCTTGTCTTCAATTCTTGGTGAAAAACGGTGAATTCTGTGATTCATTTCAAGGATCCATAATTTCAATCACTTTTTGCATGCACTTGAGGTGGAGGGTAACATGTCAAAGTTAATAGTCTAATTCGAAGTCTGCAGCATAAGTATTTTTTTGTTACCATGCATAATGTAGTTTGATAAAATAACATTCCCTAAATGTTTTACTCTGCTATTGTGGAAAAGTAGTAGTACTATTGATTCCAGCCTTCAATCACTTCCTAATAACTGTCAACTTCACCTAGTTCGAATTTTTCCTAGTGCTGTTATTTTCATGATAATTAATATTCCCCACCAAATCTCAAAATGTATGATCACGTTCACTATATATAGGGCTTCTGGTCATTAGCTCTAGCTGTGTTAGTCATATTCTTATCGATCTGGGAAAAAATGAAATATAATGATAGCACGGCGCACTTTGTTAGGCCAACTTGCGTTTGCACCGCCGCAAAATGATTAAGATGCGTTCTTATGCCTGGAAAGTGAGGGCACATACTTGACATAGTTTCAGTAAGTAGTCAATTTTTTTTGTATGATATATATTTTTTAATCAGTATACTTTAAATCACGAATGAATTAGTATGGTTGTATGATAATTGTTTTTTTTTAATTATTCTGTGGTAACTAATTAATAATAAATCTTCTTAATCAACATTAATACATTTTCCATACGAAAGCCAATACATACAAGAAAACAAAAGACTTTTTAGCCAAAATAGTTTATAAGATTTGCATAACACATCACTTTGGTCTTTGGAGATTGAAAATCAATAGAAATAGTCCCTGAGATTGTCCACCATCCATTATTTTGGCCATTCCGTTAAAAACTCCGTTAAGTGTCCCAGAGCTCTTGGCTGGAAGTTTGGGCAATTTTCAAAGCTTCGTAACTCAATCGTTTCTTAACCATATTCGACCCATAATATATCAAAATGAAGATAGGAAAGTGTAGAACAAGATTATACCTATTTGGAAGCCCAATGGTTGCCGAAGATGGCCGGAAAATAGCCTGAAAGGTGACTGGTCCGCGGAAAAACTGGAAAACTCGCCGGAAACTGGGTAAACTTTAAACGTTCATAACTTCTTCAATACTCAACGAAATCGATTGATTCAAAAACAAAAATACTTCTCAATGAGAAAAAGAGAATGATACCTTTATTGATGGCTAATTCTCCATGGTTTGGCCAGAAAACGACTCAAAAGTGGCTAACTTGAGACCAAGACAGCCACTTTCGAGCAGTTTTCCGGCCAAACCACGGCCATTTAGCCATCAAGAAAGGTACTAGTCTCTTCATCTTGTCGAGAAGTATGATTTTCGTTTTTGAATCGATTGATTTCGTGGAGTATTGAAGAAGTTATGAACATTTAAAATTTACCCAGTTTCCGGCGAGTTTTCCAGTTTTCCCGCGGATCAGTCACATTTCAGGCTATTTTCCGGCTATCTCCGGCAACCATTGGGCTTTTAAATAGACATAATTTTGTTTTACACTTTCCTATCTTCATTTTGATATATTATGGGTCTAATTTGGTTAAGAAACGATTGAGTTACGAAACTTTAAAAATTGCTCAAGTATCCGGCCAAGAGTTCCGGGACACTTAAGTTTTTAACGGAATGACCAAAATAATGGATGGTGGGCAATCTCAGTGACTATTTCTATTGATTTTCAATCTCAGGGACCAGAGTGATGTATTATGCAAATCTCAAAGACCATTTTGACTAAAAAGCAAAAAAAGAACAATAATGGAACAAACATGATTATTAAGTAGCTATTGCTAAAAACACGATAAAAAATCAAAATGTAGCTGTAAAAGCTATCGCTTTTCTTGTAGTATTGTTGATTTGCTAACTTTTAACACGAGCTCACATTGTGGTACTCATACAACTTTTAACATGAGCTCATATCTTGGTACGCTCATAAACTTAAGACAATAATCATCTCTCTCAAAAATACAGAATAAACAACGAATATAAAATACAGGGCATGAACAGAGAGGAAAAAAAATCAACACTAATCTCAACTTATTTAGAAGAAAATATGAGCATCTCCAGCGCACAATGGTACTAGTGTCCTATCTAGAACCCAACGGTCGACAATTGGCCACAAATTCAAGGTATGAGATGGAATTAGATCCTTTCCGGATCTCCTCACTGGGGATCCGAGGGATCAATGAATAATAATCGTTCATCAAAGATTGTATGGCCACAATTGAATATTTTTTATATTTTCAGAAGTAAAGCAGTTTTGTTTTGCATGAAAAATATAAAAAAATAAAAAATTATGACCACACGATCTTTGATGAACGATTATTATGCATTGATCCCTGGGATCCCCAATGAGGGGATCCGGAGAGGATCTAATTCCGTATGAGATAATACACCAAGAAGAAGGGCATGCCACTCCTTTCTCCCGACAGACTCCGACGAGCATCTGAACGTAGCCTTCATCTCCACTAGGTCTAAACCACCAAAACTCACAATACCATCGGCTTCTCCTCTAAATGCATGTTTCAAATTCCACTTATCTGAAAAAAACCAAAACCTAAACAAATGAGAACCTTCCCAAATCTAGGAAAACACTTCAATCTGCATCCTAATGGAGTCAAGAAACATATGAACCCTCCAGTATTTGGGGTTGTTGAGCTCATCCAAATTCATTTATTTGGGCTTTCTTTTTTAGAAAAACTAATGAAAAGTGCTTGTAAATTTTGAGTTTTAATCAAAATGACTAAAAGGTGTTGTAAGTGAATAGTATCATGAGTGATTTTTTAGAGTAAAATTGTTCTTTTTCGTTAAAGTGAACAGCATCCGGAGTGTTTCGTTAAAATATTTTTTTTTTTAATTGAATTTCATCATTGTTCCTCAAATACATACATACACGCACACACCAATTTCGTAAGGCATCTTGGTTTGGACTAATTAAAGCTTTCAATTATTGACTTAGTCAATATGTAAGCTTCAAGCCTAACCTCTTAGGACTCATTTGGTAACCATCTCTCTTTACTATATATAAGTGATACTGGGGGAAGGAGATTTGAACTCGAGATATCTAGTGCAAGGAAAAATGATTTTAACTAATTGAGTTACTAGCTTCTTGATAACCATTTCATCTGGAGTTTGTAGTCTTCATCACATCATGAGAAAAACCGGAGATACATAAGAGTTGGAGGAAGGAAGGATTGTGTGAAAATGCATAATAAATGGATGAAGAGAATGAGACACAAAATGAGAATAAAAAAAACCAAAATAATTTTAATTTGTTCACTTTGAACAATTTTTTTTTGTTTATTCTTTATTTATTTCTTTCCCTCCCACCACCATATATACTGCATTCCCCCAACATCTCATGTATTTTCACCCTATATCAAACACAAAAATAAAAACTAAAAATAAAAAATAAATAGTTTTAAACGATTCGTAGCTTTTCGATTCTTGGGCTTTTTTGTAAGCAAGCAGACAAATCCTTTATTTTCTTAATCCTTTTATATTTATTTTCTTAATTACTCAATAAAAAAATGAAAAAAAAATGAAGGAATAAAAAAACTTAAAAATAGGAGAAGTAATTAAGGAAAGAGAATTAGAACAACAAGTGCCCCCTAGTCGATCCAGTTCCTTATTTTCAAAGGAAAGTTTTA